GTTCCAGAATATTAGTTAAAGAATGGCTCGTCCTTTGCCAATCCATAGCTATGATTTCAACCACCCAGTAACCTAATTTAACTTCCAGGTTTCAGCATTTTGCTAAATAGCTGACATGCACGAGCCAATCAAGCCAGCCTCTACACGAAATTGCATTCGAAAGCAATTATCGTAAGTCATTTACATAGATTCCATATATTTAAATAGATTTTAACATCTTTTCCATGCAATAGTAATTTGTAAACAATTCTTTTGAATTGATTAATAGCAAATTAAAGCAGTTGATTAGCAGTGTACTTGAGCACATTCAATTGGCCCAAAATGATTGATAAAATGTCAAAATATACTAAACCGTATCAAGATAGAACGCAAAATCATACCGAATTAGCAACACAATGCTCCTTAGCCTTCTCAATCACCCTAGCAGCTATTCTTTTCAAATCTAACTCTACAGAAGGAAGGACATCAGCAACTCCTGCATACATAACAATAATAATAATAACACGCCTTATCCAACTTTCTATCTCATAAATCATAATAAAAATTTTGAAAATAAGTCTCTACTCATTTGAGTTGCTAATTCAGATAAAGAAAGAATACTATAAAGAGCGTTAAGTGGATGGATGCTAGTTGCATAATAGATAATCAAAAAGCAAATTATTGAACTAATTTCATAAATCCTAAACATGTCATTTAGCTGATCTTGGCAGTTATGACTAGAAGAAGTTGACTGGTTTTTTGGCGAATAAGGTGGAAAGGACCCTGTAATTTTAGCAAAAATTCGAGGACTTCTTTAGCTCAGAACAATTTTAACAAAAACAGCATATATCATAAAAAAATTACTCATACTATGATCTTTTAGATAAAAAGTAATAGAAAACCATTAACAAATAAGTAATGAATACTATAAAGGCAGTCTCGATCTTCATATGAGACAATTGAGAAGATCACTGTAGCAGCACTGAAACAAAACTATCATATCCACAGCCAGACCACACATATTCTAAACATCTACGAGAAGACAAAAAAAAAACAAATTATAAAAAATAAAATAAACGCATTAAACCAAAAAAAATACCGGGGCCTCCTATGGCGATGACCGAGGTAGAGAACGGCTTGGCGTGGATAATGACCAGCTTATAACCAGCAGCACCCCCGCCGGCGAAGAAGTGGCCGAGGATCCACTGAAGCGCGTAGAAACTGTGCTCGCTGTCGTCGATTCCGACCACAATCGTCCCTCTTTTCAGCTCTCCGGACACTTCAGGCGCTTCCTC